TTGTGGCAGCACTGAAAAGGCAATTTGTTCTAGGTTGCAGCCATGTAGCCAAGGAAGGAGCAATTCGTTTTGCTTTCCTAATATGGTCTACACATTGCTGCGGAAAACTCTGGATAGATTGTGTTAGGGAAGCAGAACAGACTGCTTCATTGCTGGGCCATGTGGAGTGATCCTGGAAATAGCCACCATTTTCTGAGTAATCACTATTCAATGTTGCCATTTGGAAAATGGCAGCTGCTTCTGGGATCCTGCCATTTGGCCCAGCAATGAAGTGTTCCCTAACCCAAGCTCTGAAACTCTGGAAATCTTGGAAAGCTAGGCAAAGTAGGAGTAGGGTCAGTTGGGTGGAAAGTAGGGACAAGATCTGTGGGAATCTTGGGGGGGGAAGGAGTGCTGTTGGGACTAGGTGGAGGGTAAAGAATACCAAAGGGCTGTGGGAATTGTGAGGGGAAGGAAATGTTGCATGAAGTGTCTCAGAGTGAGGGAGGTCTTGCAAGGCCTACAGCAGATGGACCTGACCTGTTCTAAACGTCCCAGGGCCTTTCCCATCCCTGAGCCTCTCAATGCTTCACTTAATCCAGATGGTTATTTAACTAATCAAGGAGAGAAGCAACCTGGAATTAAAGAGAAACTTTCTAACAGTGAGGACAATTATCCAGTAGACAGCTTGCCTTCAGAAGTTGTAGGTGCTTCATCAGTGGAGGTTTTTTAAAAAAGACTGGACAGCCATGTATCTGAAATGGTACAGGGTCTCCTGCTTGAGCAGGGGGTTGGATTAGAAGATCTCCAAGCTCTATTCTGATTGATTGATTGATGACTGCATCAGAGAGATTTGGAGGGGAGTTGTTAAGTGAGGCAATCTTGCCTGACCACCATCATGACTTTCAATCATAATGGCTGGCTCTATTATGGTTGTTGGTTGTGGACTATCTGTAGGATTTAAGATGAAAAGGAGAAAAATCTGCACAGTCCCATCTCCCAGTATTGCAACTACAATTATACACTTTAGATCAGACATGTCAAACACAAGGCCTGCAGGCTGGGTCCGGCCCGCTATGTGGTTCCATCCGGCCCGGGCATCTGCTCTGGAAACAGCGAAGAACCAGTCTGCCGCATCTCAGCCCAGCCCAGGCCGATTGGGCACTGATCTACAATCTGGTTGTGTCCATCAAAGCCAAAACACACTCAGCCTTAAATATATGGGCACACACGCAAGCAGAGTCTAACATCCCTGCTGGTGGTCTTGCACCACAGGCTGACTTCACCCAGGATGCTGGTGCTGGTCGTCTCCTTTGCACATATCCAGGGGGCAAGGCAGAGGCGGCAAGGCAGCTCCTTGCTGATTCCAGGGCTGCCCCATGGAACCTTTGTTCTTTTCTTCTTTCCTTCTCTCCTTCTCGTCTCTTTCCCTCTGGGCACACACACAAATGGAGTCCAGTGTTCCTGCTGGCTGTCTTGCCCTGCAGGCTGACTTCATCCAGGACACTGGCACTGGCCATCTCCTGTGCGCACACCTGGGGGGGGGGCAGGACAGAGGCAGCAGGGCAGCTCCTTGCTGGTTCCAGGGCTGCCCCGTGGATCTAAGGCTGAGTGCATTCTGGCTTTGATGGATGCAACCAGGTTGTAGATCAGCACCTCCCACCAGCACCTCCAGCCTCACACCACGAGGCTTTCCTTTCACCGGGATAGCCCCCGACTGCCCACGTGGGATAGCAAGACCGGCAGCAACATGGCAGCGCTGGCAATCTCTCCCCCTCCCATCACCCCTTCCTGAGCATGGAGGAAGGATGAGAACGGAGGAAGGAAGAAAGGGAGGGTGGGAAAAAAGGGAGGGAGGAATGGCGGGAGGGAGGAACAGAGGGAGGGAGGGAGGGAAAAAAGTAAGAAAGGAAGGAGAGGCAACTTGGTTGGAGATGCCCCAGTTCATGCAGTTCTGCTTCAATCCTGGATCCATTGAGACTTGGACTCAAAGCAATTTTGTGTTCTCTTTTGTCACAGACAGGACTTTATTGGCAATCTAAGTTAACACTGGTATTCTTGATTGTGAACTCTTAGGAAAGTATCCCTTCCTTGTATGTTGCAAACAGTCATTTCCAGTTGGGAAAACAGGACAAAGCAGAGTAGGGGAAAATATTTTCTTTTGCTATATTTCCAGTCTGAATTAGACCATGGCAGGGTCCCTGCCGGAGAGCTCTTTTTAAAAGGATTATGTATTAATAGAAAAGCAACTAACTCACCTCTGTTCCGAAATGCTAAAGCCGTTACACATAAAAAAACAGAGAAGCTCTGATCAATTATCACAGCCACCATTTTGACAGTTCTGCTGTACTGTTGTCTGTGGATGCCCTCACTAAATATAAGCATGGGATAAACTGAGCCTGGTTTGTTCTCGGTCTTTTAAATGGCAACAGACTAGTTGCAAAAGTGGCATTTGATCACAAGCCAAGGAGGCATCGAGAAATTTTTCCCCTTTTGCATTTGAGCATCCAAGAAGGGACAGGAAAGGAGAAAAGGAAAGAGGAAAGACCAACAAAAAGAAGGAAAAGAGGGGAAGGAAGAAAAAGGAAAGAAGAATGAAGAGGGAAGGAAAAAGAAGAAAGGGGAAAGGAAGGAAGGAAGATAGATTATAATGAGAGGGAGGGAGGGTCTGAGGGAAGTCCTGCCTTAGCATTTGGCCCCGAGCAGCTCTGCTGCCCTTTCACCATCCCCTTGTCCCCTCCTCCTGACCTCTCCTGGTGGTCTCCCATCCTATCGCTGAAGATGCTTTGGTTACAAAGCCGGGTCTCCTCACATGGAGAGGGAATGGGCTTCCCTCACCCCCACACATTTTGCCCTCCCGCAACACCATGAGCAACGTGTCCAAGGAGAGCGAGCACAGCAGCAGCAGCCTCGTGGAGGAGGTAAGCGCAGCTGGGTGCCCCTTGGGGAAGTGGGGCTAGGCTAGGCTGGGCTGCGGGGTCCCTGAACTCAAGAGCTAGGTGCTTGACCTCCACTGTCCAAGGCTCTGGGCAGCCCATGCCACCAGGGGGGCCCCCGCATGGCCTGAGAGGGACGGTGAGGCTCCTCTAATGAACCATGTCCTGGCACTCCAGAGACCCTTAGATCCACCCCAGGCCTGCACAGGCGCCCCTGACGCGAGCGATGTCAAGCTGGTCATGCCCACTCAGTAGGCCCTGCATACCCCAGCCACACCTACCCAGTAAACCACGCCCATGCTATCCACACCCACCTGGCCCCTCCAAGGGCAACCACAATGCTGATGCGGTCCTCAATGAAATTAAGCTTGACACCGCTGCTTTAGGTATATATTTTTTCTACTCAAGCTACTGTAGTGGCAAAGCTGATCTGACCTGTCTAATAATGCAAGACTCAGCCTCCTCTCAGAAAAATTCTTCTTTATTTTGTGCAATATGTTCTTATTTGGCAGAGAAACATTTGCCCCAGATGTAAATAAGTACATACTTGATCCGAATTTTTTTTACATTAGACTAATCCTCCATAACAGCCTGGAATAAAACCCACAACTGTATTAATTTTATTTATGAAATGAAATTGAATTGCTATATTTTATTGATTTAAAAAAATACAGCTTGCTAAAAAAGAACTTCATATTTTCAAATGTAAATTAAATAATGAAAGTAGATTGTATTAAGTTTAATAAATAGATAAAAATATGAAATTTTGAAAAAGAAAACATTTTCTGTCCTGATTCCTTTGTCCCTACTGATCATGAAGTTCTATTTCTTTTTCCAATTGTTGTCCTTCTGTTCTTTTTTATTTGTCTTTTCACATCTTCACTTCCTTTATTTTCCCTCGTACAACATTGGTATCAGTTATAGGAAGTGTAAGAAAACCAGACATAGATCTTGTGCTAATAACAGTTACTAAACTTAAAAATATACACATTTCTGGTCTTTTACCATTATGTTAAAAATGAAAGGTAGGGAGATAGAAGTCCATTGTTCACTGTCCCTTATTTCTGGCATACTAAACTTGCTCCCTAGCAAGTCTTTGTATTTTCCCTTGCATAAATGGTAAGAGAAAAGTGAAGAGTTTACTGTAGGATTTAAATATTTCCTTGAAAATGGAGGGCTTTCTATCGAAGCTACAGCATTACAAAGAAAGATGCTATCTTAGCAGCTGATCCTTGGCTGGGGGTGAAACAATAGATAATATGGTATATGGTAAGGTGAAAGTTCTTGGAAGCAGCTCAAAAAAGCAATATTTTGAACTACCATTCCTCTCAGCGATTATATAATACATAATAGCAAACATTAAATCTGTTTGGCTGTTAAACTCCTTGGTAATTTATGAAGAGGGCAAACATCTCTTGATAGTTGTATCTCCCCCATTTTTACTTGGGAGGTGAGTTCTTGTAGAACTTTGTCTAATGTTTTGTAATGTTTGTTCAAGATAACTTTCTGTATACTTAATCCTGAATGGATTGCTGAACTAGCAAGACAGGTAAGAGAATAATAAGTTATGGAATAGATAGGGAATGTATTTAGTTTAGTGGAAATAGTTCAGATCTTCGAATCTTACCATTCTATAAAATGAAGTATGTGCTTTACTCTTCTGGGCTGATGGGACCATCATTTTTTTTGTTCTATATGAGAAGTGTGTGTGTGTGTGTGTGTGTGTGTGTGTGTGTGTGTATAAAATTATATGTCTCCCTAGTGACAAACATTTATGTATATTCAATATCAATTGCAATTTTTGCCTTTTCTAGGGGAGAAAATAGAACCAGCCAAAATTTACCTTCTATAATTTTAAAATTAAATCATACAGCAGATCAACATTGTATATTCTCATTTTGTGCTTATGCTGATGGGGCTGATGTCAAAATTCGAAGCCACAGGTTACCTTTGATCACTGTAGTGTTTTTCCAAGCAGACTGAAATAATTTTTGTATTAAAAATGTTTAGAGCATAATGCATTGATTTTTTTAAAAAGCAATCTGATTTTATCAATTACATATAAAAATATTTCTTTTAATGTAGGAAGATCCAGTACCAAATGGTCTTCGTGCCCTTCCAGTGTTCTATGCTGCTACAATAACTATTAATGTGTTCTCTATAATGTATACAGGTGCTCCAGGTGAGTAGATGAAGTCTACTGTGAAAAGATTGTATTGTCCTTTGTGACACAGAATATAATTTGTATTCTTCCCACTTTAATTTAGACTGGCTTTTATTTCTATCAAAAGGGTAATGTCCGCAAGCAAAGATTTTTCCAAAAGGACTGCTGATTAAATAAATCCTTAACGTAGAATCATGCATATGTTGAAATAATAAATTTGGCCCAATTTCATGTGACATTGCCACTTGAAATAACTCGGCACTAAAAGCTTTTGTTGTTTGTTTATAAGAAGTGTGGGATAGTTCCAGTGGTGGGATTCAAATATGTGAACAACTGGTTCTCTGTGGATGCCGCTTCTGGAAGTCCATTCTGGGCCTGGGCAACAAAAAATTAGCTACCGGTTCTGCCAAACTGGTGTGAATAGGCTGAATCCCACCACTGGATAGTTCCCATGGAAGGTATAGTTGCCATGGCCATTCACTGCAAAATGGGCGTATTTTAGACTTTTCCACTATAGTATGGCTGCTGAGAATAGAGCATTAAACTGAGCCAAGGTGAAAGCTCTCTATAATAATACCTTAAAAATGTAAGGCCAGACAGGCACTTTCTGGGGTGATCAGCTTCCTACTAATCCTCATCTCTTTGGATATAACAAAAGTTATGACTTTTTTCAATGTCTTGAACATTGAAATTTTGAACATTTCAGTGTTGGCCCTATTAGCCTCAATACTTGCAATATTTGCTTGAAAAACAGCAATTGTTATAGATATACATTTTTTATTTGAGTGAATTAGTACAAGAATTCTATATCTCCTTATGAGAAGTTAACATTAAATCTGGCACATAATATTGCTCAGGTTTTATAATTTTAACACAAGTTTAATAAATTCAGTTGTCATAATATATTTTTCTATGTAATCCAAAAAAGAGATGGGATGCAATGTTTTGCATCCCATCCCTTTTTTGGATTACATAGAAAAATATGACAACTGAACTTATTAAACTTGTATTTAATAATACCAACATTTTTTGCAAAACAGAATTTATATCCTTGTTTTAAAAAGAAAGTGACTTAATTTTTTGATTTAATGTCTTATATTTCTGAAACAATATTCCAGATCCTCTCTAAAGCATAACATCTTTTTTTTTCAGTCCTAGGAATTACACTTCCTATGTGGGCAATAGCACTGATATCAGTTGGTGTATCAATTGTATTTGCTGCCTTAGTGTGGATATTTGTATGTCTATGGATGAAAAGAAAAATAGCAAGTATGTTTTTTCATAAAACGATGGATTGAAATAATCTTATTTTAAATCTTTCACAGGAGGACTTCAAGAACAGGGGCAGGGGGACTAGTGCCTCTAAAGGAAAAGAGGTGGCTACAGGTGGCTCCCAAAGCAAAAAATGCAGAATATGAAGAGAAAACTCACGAGTTGGCAATCCAAGAGGAATTGGCTAAAGAAATTTCAAAACCCTCTGGTGAAATCAGCTTGAAAACTAAAAACCATCTGGAAAGGTTAAAGAGCCACTATAAAGCAGTACAGAAAGGTCAATGGCTTGGAAAACATCCAACAGGAGAAGACGTATTTCTTAGGCTCCTAACAAAAAGACGAGGATTTGCAAAAACCACTGGGAAAAATGCAAGAGAACAAATCAAACCTACTTCAAGTAAAAGCCCTCTGGAACGATTAAAGAGCAATCAGGAAACATTACAGAGAGACCATTGGCTTGGAAAAAATCCGAGGGAAGAAGTCCTATTTTTTAGGTTATTAACAAAAAGGCGAGGATTTGCAACAACCACTGGAAATCCTGAGGGAGAGCAAGGGGAAACTTGCTTCAGTTACAGTGGCTGAAAAATGGAGGAAGTGGGCAGGGGGACTAGTGCCTCTAAAGGAAAAGAGGTGGCTACAGGTGGCTCCCAAAGCAAAAAATGCAGAATATGAAGAGAAAACTCACGAGTTGGCAATCCAAGAGGAATTGGCTAAAGAAATTTCAAAACCCTCTGGTGAAATCAGCTTGAAAACTAAAAACCATCTGGAAAGGTTAAAGAGCCACTATAAAGCAGTACAGAAAGGTCAATGGCTTGGAAAACATCCAACAGGAGAAGACGTATTTCTTAGGCTCCTAACAAAAAGACGAGGATTTGCAAAAACCACTGGGAAAAATGCAAGAGAACAAATCAAACCTACTTCAAGTAAAAGCCCTCTGGGACGATTAAAGAGCAATCAGGAAACATTACAGAGAGACCATTGGCTTGGAAAAAATCCGAGGGAAGAAGTCCTATTTTTTAGGTTATTAACAAAAAGGCGAGGATTTGCAACAACCACTGGAAATCCTGAGGGAGAGCAAGGGAAACTTGCTTCAGTTACAGTGGCTGAAAAATGGAGGAAGTGGGCAGGGGGACTAGTGCCTCTAAAGGAAAAGAGGTGGCTACAGGTGGCTCCCAAAGCAAAAAATGCAGAATATGAAGAGAAAACTCACGAGTTGGCAATCCAAGAGGAATTGGCTAAAGAAATTTCAAAACCCTCTGGTGAAATCAGCTTGAAAACTAAAAACCATCTGGAAAGGTTAAAGAGCCACTATAAAGCAGTACAGAAAGGTCAATGGCTTGGAAAACATCCAACAGGAGAAGACGTATTTCTTAGGCTCCTAACAAAAAGACGAGGATTTGCAAAAACCACTGGGAAAAATGCAAGAGAACAAATCAAACCTACTTCAAGTAAAAGCCCTCTGGAACGATTAAAGAGCAATCAGGAAACATTACAGAGAGACCATTGGCTTGGAAAAAATCCGAGGGAAGAAGTCCTATTTTTTAGGTTATTAACAAAAAGGCGAGGATTTGCAACAACCACTGGAAATCCTGAGGGAGAGCAAGGGAAACTTGCTTCAGTTACAGTGGCTGAAAAATGGAGGAAGTGGGCAGGGGGACTAGTGCCTCTAAAGGAAAAGAGGTGGCTACAGGTGGCTCCCAAAGCAAAAAATGCAGAATATGAAGAGAAAACTCACGAGTTGGCAATCCAAGAGGAATTGGCTAAAGAAATTTCAAAACCCTCTGGTGAAATCAGCTTGAAAACTAAAAACCATCTGGAAAGGTTAAAGAGCACTATAAAGCAGTACAGAAAGGTCAATGGCTTGGAAAACATCCAACAGGAGAAGACGTATTTCTTAGGCTCCTAACAAAAAGACGAGGATTTGCAAAAACCACTGGGAAAAATGCAAGAGAACAAATCAAACCTACTTCAAGTAAAAGCCCTCTGGAACGATTAAAGAGCAATCAGGAAACATTACAGAGAGACCATTGGCTTGGAAAAAATCCGAGGGAAGAAGTCCTATTTTTTAGGTTATTAACAAAAAGGCGAGGATTTGCAACAACCACTGGAAATCCTGAGGGAGAGCAAGGGAAACTTGCTTCAGTTACAGTGGCTGAAAAATGGAGGAAGTGGGCAGGGGGACTAGTGCCTCTAAAGGAAAAGAGGTGGCTACAGGTGGCTCCCAAAGCAAAAAATGCAGACTATGAAGAGAAAACTCACGAGTTGGCAATCCAAGAGGAATTGGCTAAAGAAATTTCAAAACCCTCTGGTGAAATCAGCTTGAAAACTAAAAACCATCTGGAAAGGTTAAAGAGCCACTATAAAGCAGTACAGAAAGGTCAATGGCTTGGAAAACATCCAACAGGAGAAGACGTATTTCTTAGGCTCCTAACAAAAAGACGAGGATTTGCAAAAACCACTGGGAAAAATGCAAGAGAACAAATCAAACCTACTTCAAGTAAAAGCCCTCTGGAACGATTAAAGAGCAATCAGGAAACATTACAGAGAGACCATTGGCTTGGAAAAAATCCGAGGGAAGAAGTCCTATTTTTTAGGTTATTAAGAAAAAGGCGAGGATTTGCAACAACCACTGGAAATCCTGAGGGAGAGCAAGGGAAACTTGCTTCAGTTACAGTGGCTGAAAAATGGAGGAAGTGGGCAGGGGGACTAGTGCCTCTAAAGGAAAAGAGGTGGCTACGGTTGGCTCCCAAAGCAAAAAATGCAGAATATGAAGAGAAAACTCACGAGTTGGCAATCCAAGAGGAATTGGCTAAAGAAATTTCAAAACCCTCTGGTGAAATCAGCTTGAAAACTAAAAACCATCTGGAAAGGTTAAAGAGGCACTATAAAGCAGTACAGAAAGGTCAATGGCTTGGAAAACATCCAACAGGAGAAGACGTATTTCTTAGGCTCCTAACAAAAAGACGAGGATTTGCAAAAACCACTGGGAAAAAAGCAAGAGAACAAATCAAACCTACTTCAAGTAAAAGCCCTCTGGAACGATTAAAGAGCAATCAGGAAACATTACAGAGAGACCATTGGCTTGGAAAAAATCCGAGGGAAGAAGTCCTATTTTTTAGGATATTAACAAAAAGGCGAGGATTTGCAACAAACACTGGAAAATCTGTGGGAGAGCAAGGGAAACTTGCTTCAGTTACAGTGGCTGAAAAATGGAGGAAGTGGGCAGGGAGACTAGTGCCTCTAAAGGAAAAGAGGTGGCTACAGGTGGCTCCCAAAGCAAAAAATGCAGAATATGAAGAGAAAACTCACGAGCTGGCAATCCAAGAGGAATTGGCTAAAGAAATTTCAAAACCCTCTGGTGAAATCAGCTTGAAAACTAAAAACCATCTGGAAAGGTTAAAGAGCCACTATAAAGCAGTACAGAAAGGTCAATGGCTTGGAAAACATCCAACAGGAGAAGACGTATTTCTTAGGCTCCTAACAAAAAGACGAGGATTTGCAAAAACCACTGGGAAAAATGCAAGAGAACAAATCAAACCTACTTCAAGTAAAAGCCCTCTGGAACGATTAAAGAGCAATCAGGAAACATTACAGAGAGACCATTGGCTTGGAAAAAATCCGAGGGAAGAAGTCCTATTTTTTAGGTTATTAACAAAAAGGCGAGGATTTGCAACAACCACTGGAAATCCTGAGGGAGAGCAAGGGAAACTTGCTTCAGTTACAGTGGCTGAAAAATGGAGGAAGTGGGCAGGGGGACTAGTGCCTCTAAAGGAAAAGAGGTGGCTACAGGTGGCTCCCAAAGCAAAAAATGCAGAATATGAAGAGAAAACTCACGAGTTGGCAATCCAAGAGGAATTGGCTAAAGAAATTTCAAAACCCTCTGGTGAAATCAGCTTGAAAACTAAAAACCATCTGGAAAGGTTAAAGAGCCACTATAAAGCAGTACAGAAAGGTCAATGGCTTGGAAAACATCCAACAGGAGAAGACGTATTTCTTAGGCTCCTAACAAAAAGACGAGGATTTGCAAAAACCACTGGGAAAAATGCAAGAGAACAAATCAAACCTACTTCAAGTAAAAGCCCTCTGGAACGATTAAAGAGCAATCAGGAAACATTACAGAGAGACCATTGGCTTGGAAAAAATCCGAGGGAAGAAGTCCTATTTTTTAGGTTATTAACAAAAAGGCGAGGATTTGCAACAACCACTGGAAATCCTGAGGGAGAGCAAGGGAAACTTGCTTCAGTTACAGTGGCTGAAAAATGGAGGAAGTGGGCAGGGGGACTAGTGCCTCTAAAGGAAAAGAGGTGGCTACAGGTGGCTCCCAAAGCAAAAAAATGCAGAATATGAAGAGAAAACTCACGAGTTGGCAATCCAAGAGGAATTGGCTAAAGAAATTTCAAAACCCTCTGGTGAAATCAGCTTGAAAACTAAAAACCATCTGGAAAGGTTAAAGAGCACTATAAAGCAGTACAGAAAGGTCAATGGCTTGGAAAACATCCAACAGGAGAAGACGTATTTCTTAGGCTCCTAACAAAAAGACGAGGATTTGCAAAAACCACTGGGAAAAATGCAAGAGAACAAATCAAACCTACTTCAAGTAAAAGCCCTCTGGAACGATTAAAGAGCAATCAGGAAACATTACAGAGAGACCATTGGCTTGGAAAAAATCCGAGGGAAGAAGTCCTATTTTTTAGGTTATTAACAAAAAGGCGAGGATTTGCAACAACCACTGGAAATCCTGAGGGAGAGCAAGGGAAACTTGCTTCAGTTACAGTGGCTGAAAAATGGAGGAAGTGGGCAGGGGGACTAGTGCCTCTAAAGGAAAAGAGGTGGCTACAGGTGGCTCCCAAAGCAAAAAATGCAGAATATGAAGAGAAAACTCACGAGTTGGCAATCCAAGAGGAATTGGCTAAAGAAATTTCAAAACCCTCTGGTGAAATCAGCTTGAAAACTAAAAACCATCTGGAAAGGTTAAAGAGGCACTATAAAGCAGTACAGAAAGGTCAATGGCTTGGAAAACATCCAACAGGAGAAGACGTATTTCTTAGGCTCCTAACAAAAAGACGAGGATTTGCAAAAACCACTGGGAAAAATGCAAGAGAACAAATCAAACCTACTTCAAGTAAAAGCCCTCTGGAACGATTAAAGAGCAATCAGGAAACATTACAGAGAGACCATTGGCTTGGAAAAAATCCGAGGGAAGAAGTCCT